GATTTGTATATTGAGAAGATAGAGGTGGTGGTGGTGGTGGTGGTGGTGGTGGTGGTGGTGGTGGTGGTGGGTGTAATATTGAAGGAAAATAAGTAACATCATTTACATTTGCAGATGAAACACATGGAGGTGGGGGTAGGTTAAGCTCTATGCTCTGAAAAATCTCCGTAAGTGGGGAAGTACCTTCATTAAATAAATATTCACCCGTAGATGGTGGAAGAGGTGGTGGTGGTGGATGTGGTGGTGGAGGAGGAGGGGGAGGAGGAGGAGATGGATTATGTGGGGTGGAAGGTGAATCGGGCCTCAACTCTGGACTAAGTTCCTCTGAATAAAGTTCTACCTCTTGATTTGAAGGTGAAGCTGGGGAAGAAACATCTTCGGCTAATGATAAATCTAGTAGTGATGGAGAAGATGCCAGTTTCCCACGTCCCGAAATAGAACTTCTGCCAGCTGTCGCTCTAACTTCCGAAGCAGTTGTAACGGATTTGAGCTTAGATTTTCCCCATCTCGGAGAATCCTTGCCCAGAGCTAGCACTGCTGGAGCACTATTATGCCTCGATGGAGGATAGTACACGTGCATCGAATTTGTGTAAGAACCTATATTAGATGGTATCCACCTCGATACAGCACTTGCCTTCGCCTGTCTTGCCAGATGGTTCTCATGCAGCTTACCTTTCTTATTACCAAATGCTTCTGAAGCAGATTTTGACCTCGAAACCGGTTGTTTCTTCTTATCCAACTTCTGTTTATTAGTACTATTATTATTATCATCAGCAGGAGTATTATTCTGCTGCGAACCTTGCTTCTGACTCTTCATCGAAACAACCACTTCTTGATTTTGCTTATACTCCGCTTCTGCGGACTTTTCGTATTTACTAGAAACTTTGTATTTTGTTCCGTTATAACTGTCCACATCAGCAATCACTGAACTAGAATCTAACTGGACTTCCCCATTGCGCACCAAATTAATACTCTGCTTATTATCATTAGTATTGTCAGCAACAAAACTTTGCTTCTCACTCTTCATTGAAGTAGCCACTTCTTGAATTTGCATGTTCGCCGCTTCTCCAAACTCGTCAAATTTACCAGTATTTTCATATTTGGTCCTGTCATTACTGTCCACTTCAGCAATCGAAGGACTAGAATCTAATTCAACTTCCCCATTGAGCAAAAAAATACTATTGTGCTCCACCTTACGGAGATGTTTTTGACCTGCCTCATCCGATGCACAATCTTGAAATGCATGATGTTCTGAATCATCTTTCCAGGATATTTCAAGATTAACTTCATCGTCCTGGCTACTATCTTGAACCGTATGGTTATCAAACTCCCCCTTGATATCTTGTCCATCAAGCACATTACTGAATATCTCTTCCGCCTCAAAAAATTCATCAGGTGAGGCAACGTCTGTTTCACTGTCGTCATCACTTGCTGCTCCTGCGGTCAAAACAGATGGAAAATAATCTCCATCTGAAAAGAGTACCTGATAAGAGGGGGGGAAAAAATAAAGCGTTTTCAACTCAAAAAAATTTCAGAAACTGACAATAAATAGCACCAGTGATGCAACACGTTACCTCAACTCTGAATTCCCTCGAAATTTGGTCTTTGGCGTCCCAAAGAACATCAACCTCATCACGAGTCAGCAGCAAAACATTTGATCGGACAAATTGCGTGTGGAACATAATTCGAAAAATCGTCTCTTCCCTCACTAGATCCTCCTCCAAATGGACACACTCAAGATATACATCTCCTTGAACCAGTCGATGGATATCCATTTTTACTAGCTCACACTCTTCCTGCATCCACGGATCATTAAAAACTCCAAAAATTTAGCCAATCACCATATTTAATCGTGTTCAAGATTGCGAGGCATTACCTGTTGGTAGAGACGGATATGTTTCTTCACTTCAGCCGTTGAAAACAAAAGCTTTGTACTTGTAACAGATGTTTTGGAAGAAGGATCCTGACCATACACACGAACTATCGGTCGGCATCCTCTTCCACCATCATACAAAGGAAGCACTCTGAGTATCACACAGTCCAAAGTCAGAGGTGAATCTGATGACGGCCAATCCAACCGAAAATTCCTTCTCGAAATGTACTGAAGATATCTGAGATGAGATGGCTGTGGATTCAAAGGAGTCAAAAGTTGAAGAACTTCCCTCGGTGCTTGTTTGTATACCATATCGAGAGTCTTCATTTCACCGGTGTACTGTTTTCTATACAAGAGAAGGCCTGCCAGCATAAAAGCAAGAACGGGCCATCCGCCCCTTTCACAGTGCATCAAGAGAACATTTTGTTGGCCCTCGACTGATAACCAACTCTCACTGGATCGTAAAAAGTGATGGATCATCTCAAGAGGTAATAACGGACACCCTTCGTACTTTTGAGGGTAATCCATCACAGTCATACCGTACTTAGACAATATATTGGATAATTGGCTCCTCGTATCCCCTTCTTTGAAATTGAAAACCATGAAAGCAGCATCAGGGTAGTGGTCTTGCAGCTGAGCTACAATCCCGTTTATGTACGTCCTGTACTCATCTTCATCGAGCACATCGATGGAGAAGCAACAATCAAACACTGCATCCATAACAACAAAAAATATATAGTATCAATATATCGTCATAACTCATAAATCAGTTATTATTCGCATTAAATTCTGAGAAAACACAAACATATCAACTTATTAACTTTTTCGTAGTTCAACAAAGAATAGTGTTACGGAGAGGAATCCAAAAACAATCATCAATACGGAATCCAATATAATTTTATTTATCATATCACATAATTCAATATATTGAAATTATTATTCGCCATATCGCCATAACGCACAAGTCAATTATTATTCGCATTAAATTCTTCGAAAGCACAACCAACAATATATTTCCAACATGCATTACGTAAGAATTTAACATACTTAACCTTTTCTCTTTCAGTTCATTACCTTGAAACTATATATGCCTAGCATTTTAAAATCACTTCACATTATCCGAACAACTTTTTTGCACCAGAACATCATATTCTCAAATACATATAAATCTCACCGAATAAAAAGTTCAGGACAAACTATTATACACAATCCTAACAATGTAATGAATCCCCTTTTTACTTACAGAAAAGTTCAAATACTATTTTTAGCATTAAGTTCGCACTTTAGAACCAGTAAAAGGCAACCAAACCCAACTACTTGAGCAAAAAGTTGAACAAACTCCTCCACAATAATGCCATTATAAGTAAAAAAAAATCTCAAATATTGTTGAAGAACCATCCTCATAATAAATTAGCCAAGAAAACGAGCTCGAAACATATATTGCAGTACATTACCTTGAAATTATATATGCCAAGCATTTTAAAACTTTTTGCACCAGAACAACATATTCTGCTTTCAATTACATCTAAACTTCAAATACTATTTTTGGAATTAAGTTCCCACTTTAGAACCAGTAAAAGGTAACCCAATCCCAACTAATAGTATCAACATATCGTCATAACTCATAAATCAGTTATTATTCACATTAAATTCTGTGAAAACACAACCATATCACCTTACTAATTTTTCTCGTAGTTCAACAAAGAAAAGTGTTACCGAGAGGAATACAAAAATAATCATCAATAGAAATCCAATATAAATTTATTTATCATATCACATAATTCAATATATTGAAATTATTATTCGCCATATCGCCATAACACACAAGTCAGTTATTATTCGCATTAAATTCTTCGAAAGCACAACCAACAATATATTTCCAACATGCATTACGTAAGAATTTAACCTACTTAATCTTTTTTTTTTCAGTTCATTACCTTGGAACTATATATGCCTAGCATTTTAAAATCACTTCACATTATCCGAACAACTTTTTTTGCACCAGAACATCATATTCTCAAATACATATAAATCTCACCGAATGAAAAACTCAGGACACACTAAAATACCAAATCCTAACAATGGAATGAAACCCCAAAAAAGTTCAAATACTATTTTTAGCATTAAGTTCGCACTTTAGAACTAGTAAAAGGCAACCAAACCCAACTACTTGAGCAAAAAGTTAACTCCTCCCCAATAATGCCATTATAATTCCAAAAAAAATCCCAAATATTGTTGAAGAACCAAACTCATAATAAATTAGCCAAGAAAACGAGCTCGAAACATATATTGCAGTACATTACCTTGAAATTATATATGCCTAGCATTTTAAAACTTTTTTTTACCAGAACATCATATTCTGCTTTCAATTACATCTAAACTTCAAATACTATTTTTAGCATTAATTTCCCACTTTAGAACCAGTAAAAGGCAACCCAAACCCAACTATATAGTATTATCATATCGTCATAACTCATAATCAGTTATTATTCGCATTAAATTCTGTGAACACACAACCATATCACCTTATTAACTTTTTTCGTAGTTCAACAAAGAAGTGGTAAGGAGAGGAATCCAAAAACAATCATCAATACGAAATCCAATGTAATTTTATGTATCATATCACATAATTCAATATATTGAAATTATTATTCGCCATATCGCCATAACGCACAAGTCAATTTTATTCGCATTAAATTCTTCGAAAGCACAACCAACAACATATTTCCAACATGCATTACGTAAGAATTTAACCTACTTAACCTTTTCTTTTTCAGTTGATTACCTTGAAACTATATATGCCTAGCATTTTAAAATCACTTCACATTATCCAAATAACCTTTTTTGCACCAGAACATCATATTCTCAATTACATATAAATCTCACCCAATAAAAAGTCCAGGACAAACTAAAATACCCAATCCTAACAATGTAATGAAACACCCTTTTACTTACAGAAAAGTTCAAATGCTATTTTTAGAATTAAACTCCCATTTTAGAACCAGTAAAAGGTAACCCAAACCCAACTACTTGAGCAAAAAGTTCAACAAACCCCTCCCCAATAATGCCATTACAATTAAAAATAAAATTTCCAAATTTTGTTGAAGAATCAGACAAGAAAACAAGCTCGAAACATACCGTAGACCCTCTCAGAGATCTCGAGAAGCCGGTCCGGCGGCTTCCGGTAGAAGAACCGTCTGAACAGAGCCATCTAACCGCGTTGTTTCATCCCTGATTGGATCCAAACCCTAGTTTCACAATCCAGTCTCCCAATTTTTCTGTTTCCCCTCAAAATTAGAACCAAATAACAAAATCAATCACCGGCAATTCACCAATCACCAACATGCAATCGTAATTCACTGCCAATAAATTCAACAAAAACCACAAAATGCACGGTGGTGGAGCGCCGGCGATTCCAGCTAAGGGGTTTTGACCCTAACGGGAACGCCACAATGTCATTGCATTTCTCCGACCCAGAAATTCGAGCTTCTGTGAATACACACACGATAATGGATTCAGGAAAGAGAATGTGTGGAGCAGGTGTTTACAGTTAGGGAATTGAACAATCCAGAGTTTTAGGGTTTGAGGTCAGAGAAGGGGGGAAAGGGGGAAGAAATCAAATCTGAAAATTATTTTCCGTTTGTGGATGAATTTGGCACCAATTTTTTTGGTGATCATATGAAAAAAAAAAGAAAAAAAAAAGAAAAAAAGGAAAAAAAGAATATTAAAATGAGAGAGAGAAGAGGGGGGGCCTCGTAGTCAGGAGGAAGACCCCACCTGGATAGAGAACGAAGTGCTTTTTTTATTATTTTATTATTATTTGTTCATTCATTGTGATTTATTTCTGTTGGATTTTGGGGGGCAATCGCCACGTGGACAAACATGGAGACAAAGATTAACTAACTCTTAACAATATAGGGAGAATGTGATTTTATATATTAATCAAAAATGGACTCTGTATTTATGTTTTTTTTTGTATTCCTACATATATATATATATATATATATATATATATATATATATATATATATATATATATATATATATATATATATATATATATATATATATATATATATATATATATATATATATATATATATATGGTGTACATTAGGGGTGTGAACGAGCCGAGCTCACTTGTTTTGGCACGCTCGAGCTCGAGTCCATATTGTCGAACTCGAGCCCAAACTCATTTTAATTTTTTTTAAACTATTAATTTATTATTATTAAAAATATTTAGATTATAATTAAAAATTTACAAAACAAACAATAAACTTTAATTATATATATTCTTTTAATAATTATATGTTCATTTTATATTATTTCTATAATATTTTATATTATTATACATTATTTAAATAAAATAAATAAGGCTCGCGAGCTCACTAATAACTAAAAAAAAGCTCGAGCTCGACTCGTCAGAACGCTCGAGTTCGAGTTTGAGCTTTTTTCGAGCCAGTTCATCGAGCTCACGAGTCGTCTCAACTTGTTTATCACCCCTAGTGTACATTAGAACGAATTTCTGAATTTCGTCTTTCAATTCCGGATATTTTCGATCTTGACACAATATTTTTTGTTTCGAATTCTGAAAGTTCCGATTTTCAATTTTTCTGACGTTTTTGGAACTAAAAAAGTGTACGTGCATTGCACGTATGACGTATCGAATTAATTTTCTCATGTTTTTTAGATTAGATTATGTTAGATGGGTTTTCATTAAAACAATATTATTATGTATTGAAAATGTTTGAAGTATTTGAGGCCGTACCAATTAAATGAACATGCATAACATGCTACATAAAAGTAATTTGTCAAACTAAGAAATTTTTATCTTTGTCTTTCTATTTTTAATTATTATTTCTTATCTATCATATTCACTATGTACATTAAGGTATACATTTTTGTAGAATAATGCATGTAATATAAAAAATGGTTTGTATTTTAGATCAATATCATGGAATATTTAAGGTTAATCATCATATATCTTAGATGTTTAACATATTAAATTATTAAATATCTTACAACCTAGTAACATTAATTTATATTTTATTGCATACTACACATCGTTAACCATTGCTCTCTCGGTTTGTAATCACAAATCGCTTATATTTATTAAATCAAGAAATATTTAAACATAATAAAAGAGTAGGTAGTGTAAAAAAAAAATTAACGAATTCACAATCAACTATATATATACACTGGGTAACCCTACACTCCCATATAATAGCTTGCAAATTATATGGGAAAATTATCATTTAAATCCACGTCCAAGGAAGGCGAAGTAGGCGATCGCCTATGATCCCTAAATTTTTACGAAAATTTAAGGCCCCCAAATATTTTTATATACTAGTACTTAGTATTTTAAAATTTATAATATATAATATTTTGGAACCTCAATTCTATTAATAAATTTAAAATCAATGATCAATAGTTAATTTTACAATTTCTTAACACTATGGTCCCTAAATATTAAATTTATAATGTCTTAGTTACTTACTTTTATATCTAAATTAAAAATGACAATTCATTAGTTTATTCAAGTTTATTTTTCTAAACATTTATGAAGTATGTTTGCTGTAAAGATTAAACATCATGAAGAAAGTGGATCATCAAATGATGTTGTTAGTTTTGAAATTTTTACATATTTTGTGTTATTTTATATTCATACATCTCAAAAAATATTTCGGGCCATTGCCCTCGGACCCCCTGTTATCATTTAGTCCATCATTTTTATCAGATGTTATTTATATTCTTTTAGTATATATATTCAATGTCGTCAAACACACCCCCTTGAATTTACTTTTGATGTGTCATCAAATAGGGACTCATGTTTTGAGTTGTTCTTCAATTCTGGCCTAGGTTCCTCGAGGTCTCAGGAATCGGCCTATCGGCAGTGGCGAAACCAAGATTTGATATTGGGGTGGACTAAAGTTTACGAGGGTTTTCCGACTTTTTTTTTAATCTACTTGTATAATACATCATAAAATAGAGCTAATTGCATAGAACTCCCTGTGTAATTTGGAATGGCTAAAAAACCCCTCATGTTAAAAATATTAGCATAGACCCCCCTATATTATTTTTGACAAAGCACACTGCCCCTTATTTCGAAATTAACAGTTGACTTACAGGAAATGACTAAATTAACCCTCATATTTTTAATAATCTCCTCCCAACCCAATTCTTCCATCGAGTCCTCCGCGGCCGCATCACCACCACCTCACCACCACGGCCGCACCACCTGCCTTCCCACCTCAGTAAAAAATTATGTTTTATGTTTGATGGGTTCTTCCAGATCTCTTGTGAATCAAAATTTTGGATCGAATTACGTTTTGTGCGTTTGTGCCTGTTGGGTTTTTTGGTGATTTTATTGGGGAACTAACGTAACATATCGCCACCCTATTCTTCTCATCTCTTCGTCGACGGTGTGTTTGGAGGCAGCATCATCCGGGCCGGATGAATCATCCATGGCGGATCGGGCCCTCTCTCTCTCTCTCTCTCTCTCTCTCTCTCTCTCATACACAAGGTTCTATCGTGAAGTGCAACTTTTGTTGGTTTTTCTTCTTTTGCAAACAGGTTGTTTATAAAGATAAACTGCTGGATATTGTTTCCTTTTTTTTTGGCGAGGAGCAGATCTGAAGAAGAAGGAGAAGGAAGATGAGGTTTTGAGACATTATTAAATTGCAATTTGGTCCTATGCAATTTGGAGAGAGGGCTTTTCTGAATTATTAGGGATTGAATTGAAAATTCTGAAAACTTTATTTTGAGCTTATGAAAAATACTGGATAAATTTACAAATTTCAAAAAAAAAATTTAAAGGATATTTAGGTCTTTCTAAATCCAAAATCAGACTCCCAATTGCACAAAGCACGAGTGAATAACACATCAAGCTCATAGGGTCCTTTTTTGCTTTGACTATCTTTTACAGGGGGTTGTGTGCAAATATTTTTAACACGAGGGTTTTTCAGCTATTCGAGATTACATAGGGGTGGTTTTTGCAAAAAAACCACAATAAAATAAGTAAATATAATGCTCAAGATGTAATTACGGTAACGTGGCCCAATTAGACCCACAATCTATTTAATAATCGGACCCGCTACACAAAAGCCCAAACACCTTCAAAATAAGGCTTGGGCCCAACAAAGTAAACCCAACCCAATAAATAACATATAAATAGAGGTTTTACTCATTTTTGTTAATGTACGTTCTATTATTCAGAAGTATTCTAGAGCACATATTCTCTCTACTATCTTCACGATCCGTACATCTGACTTCAGCGTCGGAGGGGTTTCCGCCGGATCAACTCTCGGCTTAGTTCACGTGTGTTACTGTCGCAGGGACCTCAGGACCATCTAATTGGCAAGCTTCTGATCCACTTTGCTCTCTCAACTCGTTTACCACACTATCCCAAGTGATCTAAATAATTAACATCGTCATTTTGGCGTCATCTGTGGGAATGCGAACCAGATCACGTAGCTAGCACGGTCCTCCTGAGTCGTCCGCTCGGAGAGAAAATGACACAGCTAACAACCTCCCGATCTGCGGAGGCTCTGGCTTGCCACCTCCTCCCCGTGCTTCGGATCCCCCTCGCGATGTCCAAGTGAATCCCCCATCGGGATCCACCCATCGCCGATCCTCCACTCCCTGCTCCCCGAACGGTTCAGATAACCGAGGATGCACTCCAACGTATGATAGCAGAAGCCTCAACTCGCGCCGCCGCATATGCGGTGACCCAGTACATTACCACGATGGGACCAAATGCTCCCCCTGCGATACCAGCACATGCTCCACCCGCGGTGCCGTCCATGGCACCACAGCCAGTCCTAAACAACAACCATCGAATAAGTGTATCCTCATCCACCTCGGACCCCGCCGCACCGGCGCCGTCCGCCGCCGAAAACCGCCGGTTTTTCCTCTTCTTTCTCTCTCGTATTTCCCTTGTTATCTAACCCCTTTGTATCTAGTGCTACAGTAGGGGGAGATAGGTTTATTCGAGTTGAAACCTGATTGGAGAGGAGCTGCAGCCCCGAAGGCATCGTTGCACCGCCGCTGCACCGCCCCACGCGCCGCTGCATCGCCCACGCGCCGCCGCCGCTGACTCGCACGCGCCGCCGTCGCCTCACCGTCGGACCAGCTGCCGTTTGGTGGTATTACTGCAGCCCTTAGGAGTGGTATAACGCAGCTTGTACGGGTTTGAGTTCGGATTTCGATTCGTCGAAATCTCACGCTACAAGAGGTAATTAAATCGGAACTTTCGTAAATTTGATTCGTATATGTTTGTATGAACTTTAATTTACGAGCATGAGTAATATGTGATTACGTGTTTCGATTTTGCAATATGATGAACAAGCATGTTTTATATTTTTCGGTTTTACATATTTTGATAAAAATCGATAATTACCATGTGTATGGCGGAAGCGTTAAGGTACGTTGACTATGTGATTAGTTTATGCATGTAATCGAAACTAGTTCGATCTAAAAATTTTAAATTCCGTTGCGTATACATGCATGATCCCCAACACTATCAACATCAACCAAATCAAGATTGAGTGACTTAATCTTCTTTTGCCTCCTTGTATCCATCTCAACATCATCAAGAGGAATATCATCCCCATTTTCCACTTCGACCATCGCTGTCACTTCACCATTCGATCTCGCAAGCTCACTCGACGAACTAGATTGATTCGACTCATCACTATCACTACCA